TCCTCCTCCTCCTCCTCCTCCTCCTCCTCCTCCTCCTCCTCCTCCTCCTCCTCCTCCTCCTCCTCCTCCTCCTCCTCCTCCTCCTCCTCCTCCTCCGTGAACGACCTCCTCGACGACGTCCTCGCGACGATCGCCGACAAGACGTTCGCGCCGCTGCCGCCGCCGTCCGAGCCGCGAATCCGATGGCGCCGACGGTACGAGCACCCGGCGTCGTCGTGGGACGCCGCGCGCGCCAAGGCGGAGTCCGACGCGTTGGAAGAGGCGAGAGCCGCGGCGTTGCGTCGCGCGGCGGCGGCGAAGAAGCTCGCGATCGAGCGCGCGAATCTGAGCGAGGTGGACGCGAAAATCGCGGTCGCGAGCGTCGGCGGCACGGTGATCAAACGCCGCGCGCCGAGGGGCAAGACCCCAGGCGGGGAGGTCGTCACCGTCGCGGATCGAGTCATGGTGACCGGCGGCGGCGGCGGCGAGCCGGGTTCTTTCTTGGGCGTGTCCAAGGACAGAGTGGAGACGGTCATGACGCAGGCGCTGCCCGTCATGGGAGGGATGGCGTCGCAGAACGTCCTGAACCTCGCGGACAGCGTCATGGTCGGGCGGTTGGGCACCGAAGCCGTCGCCGGCGTCGGCCTCGCGTCGTCGGTAAACTTTCAGTGCCAAGCCGCGCTCCAGGGCATCTCGAGCGGCGTGCAGGCGATGAGCGCGCGCCGCATCGGCGAGAACCGACCGGAGGTGGCGGCGGTGCCGCTGAACGCGGCGCTCGTGATCATCGTGCTCCTCGGCGTCCCGATGGCGATCGCGGCGTTCGTCTCCGCGCCGAGCGTCGTGCCGACGTTGACGGCTGACCCCGCGGTCGTCGCCGCTGCCGTGCCGTACCTGCGGGCGCGCGTGTGCGCCGTGCCGGCGGTGGGCATCAATTTCGCGTTCCGAGGGTTCTGGAACGCGGTCCAACAGCCGCAGATTTACATGAACACCCTTCTCGCGATGCACACGGTGAACGTCTCGGTGAGCCTCGCGCTCATCTTCGGCGTCCCCGCGCTGAAGATCCCCGCGCTCGGCGTCCTCGGCGCCGGCGTCGGCACCGCGACGTCCGTGTGGCTCGGCTCTCTGCTGTACATTCGCATGGGGTTCATCCGCGCGAAGGAGATGGGTTTCGGCGTGAAGCTTCCGAGCGCAGACGATTTCAAGACGCTCATCGCGCAGGCGGCGCCGACGTCCATCACCAACTTGCTCTTCGCGACCGGGATGACGACGTTGTACTGGATCGTCGGGAAGCTGGGCACCTCCGAGACCGCCGCGGTCAACGTCCTCATCAACCTGATGCTCACGCTGGTGCTTCCGTGCATGGGCATGGGCCTCGCCGCGGGCGCGCTCTCCGGGCGCGCGCTCGGGAGGGGCGACGTCGAGGACGCGACGCAGTGGCCGTGGGACGTGAGCAAGCTCACGGCGGCGATGATGGTCGGGGTGGGCGCGGCGGCGGCGTTCTTTCCGGAGACGTTGCTGCGATGTTTTCTCACCGACCCGGCGGCGGTGGCTAAGGCGACGCTCCCGCTGCGGTTCACCGGCGCGACGGTCGCGTTCGACGCGGTCTCGCTGACGATGCAGAACGCGCTCCTCGGCGTCGGCGACGCGCCCAGGGTGGCGTTCATCTCCATCGCGACGCAGTGGCTCTTGTTCTTGCCGGCGGCGTTTCTGGGCGTGACGCGGTGCCAGCCGTGGTTCAACATGAACTGGCTGTGGGGGTTATACGTCGCGCAGCGCGTGCTGCAGTCCATCTTGTACACGCGGCTGTGGCACGCGGGCAAGTGGAAGAGCATCAAGCTCGCGTGACGACGCGAGCGACGACGCGTCCCTCGGCGGGTTTACAATACTTTATCGGGGGGGTCACTCTATCCTGTATGATGCGTTGTTCTGTTGTTGTTGTTGTTGTATCACCATCCGTTTATGTTATCGCGCGTTCGCGTCGTAACGTATCGTATCGCGCGTCTCGTCTCGTCGCCGCTATCGTCGCTACAGTATGACACCCGCCGTGCCACGTCTCGCGTCGCGTCGCGCGCGCGCGTCGGTCGTTCAAGAATCTACCCACGCCAAGTCGACGTCGTCGGTCGGCGGCGAGCTTCCGCTTTGAACGTCGCCCCCCGACCCCGCCCCCGCCCCCGCCCCCGCGCCCGCGCCGCCCTCTCTCGCGTCCTTCACGCCCGAACCCTCGGTCACCGCCATCGTCGCCGCGCCCGCCTCCGCCGGCGCGCTCTCGCACCTCAGCCGCCTCGCGTCGTACACTCTCCGAATGTTCGCGAGCGGGTTCGGACACTTACGCCGCCCGCGCCCGTCGCCCGCGGCGCGCAAACCGTGCGCGCGTAAGAGCTGTCTCACGTCCTCGCACAACAGCTCCACCGCGCGCGTGAACTTCTTCCTCGACGCGTCGTCCGCGTCCACGAACAGCGGGTACTCCGCGCGCCGCCAAGACACGCTCGGGTTCGCGCCGAGTCCGGACGTTGCCGAGGACGGGTTTAGGGTCGAGTCGCCGGGGGGGGCGGGGGCGTCTTTCGCTGCGTCTTTTCCCTCCGCCGCCGACGGCTCGAATCGCGGTCGCGCGACGAGCCTAAGCTCGCTCACGTACGACTGGCACGCCCCCGGCGCGACCGGGTACCGCAGCGGGACGTCTAATATCCTCGCGAGCTGTAGCACCGCGGACGTGGCGTGCCCTAACGCCGCGGACGCTTTGACGGGGTCGCGCGGGAACGCGAACGACGCGCCGCCGCCGCCGCCGCCGCCGCCGAACAGCGAAAACGGGGACGACGAATTCGACGTCGAGCCGTCGTCTTCGCCGCCCTTCCCGCCGCCCTCAGGGCGCGCGTCGTCGTCCGCGTGCGCGAGGTCCAGCGGCACGCCCGCTATGGACGGAGGATTCATTCTCGCCGTCGCCGTCGCCGCGGCGTAATCGTCATCCGCGGCGGCGGGCGAATGATGCAAGTCTACGTCGAACGCGTCGGCGACGTCGCCGACGCGGGCCCATCGCTCGCGCGTGAGCGCTCTCTGCTGCGCGTGCAGCCTCCCGCGGCCGAACGCGCCGCGCAGGAGGTGGTCCGCGTCTCGAACGCGCTGCCGCGCGTCGCGCAGCGCGTCCGACGCCTCGCGCAGGCGAAGGCGCCGCCGCTCCAACGCGGACGCGGCGTCGTCCGCGTCGCGCGATTCCCTCGACGCGATTCGCGCGAGATCGCGCGCGACGCGATTCGCGCGCGCGAACGACGCGGACGCCTCCGCGAGCCTGCGCGCGGAGGACGTCGCGGAGGACGCGAGGACGCGCGCGTCCGCGCGGTCGCGCAGCGCGTCGCGACGCGCGCGCGCCGCGTCGAGCGTCCTCGCGGACGCCGCCCACGCGTCGAACGAATCTCGAGACGCCGGGGGCGAAATCGTCGTCGTCGCGATGTTGAGACCTCGAGACGGCGGCGGAGGAGGACGCCCCGACGCCGCCGCCGACGACGACGACGCGCCGGGTCCGCCCCGGTCCGGCGGCATCCCCGCGACGCGTCCGGACGACGCGCGGACGCGCGCGACGCCGCTGCCGCGCCGGCGCGACGAGTGATGAGATCTCGCGAGCGGAGACGCCGCGCGCGACGTCCGGCACTCGCGAAAACTGCGAGCGTCCGCTAACATTTTCACCCACCGCTCGCTTTCAACATTTGATCGTGTCCCCTTTCAACTGACCGATGGACTTTTTCTAGGAATGGCCGTTGGGGCCGAAACGCTCAAACGCTCATCCATCATCTATCGCGCCAGACGACCCCGGCGCGACGCGACGCGACGCGATGTCGTTCGCGCGCGCGCCGGACCCGCTCCGGAGCCCGCGCGGGAGCGGCCGGACCACGCCGGTCGAGCGGCGCTCCCCGCGCGTCTCGCGCGCGACGTCGCGCGCGTCGCTCCTCGGCCTCGACGACGACGACGCGCGGAAGATGACGGTCGCGACGACGAGAGACGACGACGAGACGACGACGACGACGACGACGACGACGACGGCCGCGGTCGCGGTCGCGACGCGCGAGGAGGAGGAGGAGGACGCCCCCGGGGCGTCGCGCGTCGCGCGATACGCGGGCCCGACGCGCGCGTCGAGCGCCAAGTCGCGCCTCGCGGTCGCGTCTCGAGATGGTGACGCCGACGACGACGCCGACGGAGCACCGCGGACGCGCGACGACGCGCGCGACGACGACGACGACGACGCCGACGACGCGCGCGCGCTGTTCCGCGCGCTGGACCGCAGCGGCGACGGGCTCGTGACGATCCGCGAGCTCGTCATCGGGCTGCGCGCGCGCCCCGCGATCGCGAGGCGGCTGCGGCTGCCTTCGAGCGTCCGCCAGGAGGACGGAAGCAGAGACGCGATCGAGCTCTGGTTTCAATCGCTCGACGCGAACGAGGACCGCGCGCTGTCGCTCGAGGAGTTTTCGCGGCACTTCGTCGCGGAAGCGCCGCCGCCGCCGCCGCCGCCGCCTCGAGAGACCGGGACCGAGACGAGCGCGCGGGCGGAGATGGAGTCCTTAAGGAACGGCGTTCACCACGCGAACGGGGTCGTACGGAAAGCAGTCTCCTCATCACCGAATTCGACGACGACGAGAGAAAAGGAACGCGTCCGACTCGAACGCGGCGCCGCGTCGACGTTGACGTCGACGCCGACGCCGCCGTCGCCGGTCGTGGAGTTCGCGCGCGCGGACGTCCCGCTGGAAGACTTCCGAGCGCTCGCGAGGGCGTTCGCGGAGGGGAAGCGATCGAGTCTCCCTGAGCGCGGCGCGACGACGCCGCCGCGTCGCGGGGAGCTCCCGAGGGCGTCCGCGCTCGGCGGCGTCGGCGGCGTCGCGACCGGGTCCACCTTCGGCGAGGTCTTCACGCGCGATCAGCTCGCGTCCGCGGCGGCGTTCAGAGACGCCGCGATCGGACGCGCGCGCGTGCGCGACGGCGCGTTCGTCGGCGATTACCGAGCGGCGGCGGCGGCGGCGGCGGGCGGAGAGGCGACGACGACGACGACGGCGTCGATCGCGTCGCCGCCGCCGCCGCGGTGGGGGGTGTCGTCGCCGGAGGAGGAGCGCGCGGACAGTTTGCGAGAGCGCGTCGACGCGCTCACCGCGTCGGTCGCGGCGCTTCGCGGCGGAACGACGACGACGATGACGGCGGCGGCGGCGGCGACGGGGAAATATTCGCGTCCGCCGCCGCCGCCGCTGTCGTCGTCCGCGTCAGGTGCGTTCTATACACTGGTCCCCATACGATCGCGTTCGCGTGGTGAACGCCGATCCTTAAGGACTTTTGCCGGCGTTTCTCTCCGCCTACCCCCCGCGTTCAATCCCCGCCCGCGATGCCTTTCAACTTCAACTGACGCCTTTCAACTCCACCCCGATATCATCGCTTTGTATGTATGGAACGGCCCTCAGTCCTGGATCCCCCCGCGGGGTTCAAGCCGACGCCGCCGGCGTGGACGCGCGAGGACGTCCGCGCGGGCGGCCGCGGCGACCGCGAAGAAGAACGCGGTCGTCTCGATCTCGACGAAGAACGCGTCCGCGTGCGCGCGGGTCTGCGCACGTGGGAAGCGCAGGCGCGTTCTGATTCATTCGCACTGGTCCCCATACGACCGCGTTCGCGTGGTGAACTTCATTCCTTAAGGACTTTCTCTCCCGGCGTTCGTTTCTCTCCGCCCACGCCACGGTTTCAATCCCGACGCACGCACCTCGACGCCTTTCAACTCCGCTTCTGACGCCTTTCGACTCCACCCCGACGTCGCCTCGTATGGACAATTACCCTCGACCCGCAGGCGGAATACGCCGCGGTCATCGAGCGCCTGAGCGCGATCGGCGACGCGCGCGCGGCCGCGGCGGTCGCCGCGCACGCGGCGACCGCCGCCGCGCTGGAGGCGGACGAGGTGGAGCTCGCGCGGCGGAAGCGGAAGGAGGAGCTCGCCGTGCTCGAGGCGGCGACGGCGAAGCGGAAGGACGCCGAGACGAACACGAGCGCGTGGACGGCGTCTCAGGCGCGTTCATATTTACACTGGTTCCCATACGACCGCGTCGGCGTGGTGAACGCCGTTTCTGAAGGACTTTTCCCGGCGCATCTCTCCGCCCATCCCTCGCTTTCAATCCCGACAACCATCGACGCCTTTCAACTCCGTCTGACGCCTTTCAACTCCACCCCGACATCGATTCGTATAAAACGACCCTCAGACGGGGCCGTCGTTGAACCCGAGCGACGACGAGGACGACCTGAGGGAGGAGGCGACGGAGCGAGAGAAACGCAAGGCGCGGAGGCGTTTATTACGCGCCGCCGCGGAGGTCCAGAGACTGTGCCCGGAGGACGAAGAAAACGACGAGAATGAAAAGGAAAACGCGTCGCGCGCGGCGGCGACGGCGGCGGCGAAGGCGAAGAGCCGCGCCGCCGCGACCGAGGCGAAGCGGTTGAGAGAGGGGAATCGATACCTGAGGCAAGAGCTCGTGGCCGCGCAGAGGTTGATGACCGGATACCACGCGCAGCTGATGACCGGAGGGGGCGTCAGGCTCGTCGACGCGTCGTCGACGACGACGAGGGCGGGAGGGGCGCGCTCGTCGGGCGGCTCGCTTCTCTCGTTCTCCCCCGAAAAGATTGGCGCGTTTCCGTGGGAAGCGTCCCTGCGCGCGTCGTCGCCCGCCGCCGCCCGGGGCTCGCCGGTTTCGATCCGCGCGGACGCGGTGTCGCTGAACGAAACGCGCGACGTCGTCGTCGAGGGTGGCGTCCGAACGGCGAACCGCGCGGCGGCGAAGAAGCTCGCCGCCGGCCGCGCGGCGATCCCGGGCGTCGGGTACGAGTATCTCGCTCGCGCCGACGTCGGAAGCGATCGGCTCGCGGACGAGGTGTCCGAGCTGAGGAAGCTCGTTCGAAAGATGGCGGACAGGGACGAGAAGAAGGACGCGGGGACGAGCGGTGCTTGATTGACCGATACGTACAGTAGTATTATGCGTTACATACAGTAGTCACACGTAGATATGATACAACAACAGCAGCTTCCAAAAGAACTTCCTTCGCGCGCGGATACAGAAATTACAGCAGAGGTAAAATACGAAAACAGATTCTTTTTCTTTGACTTCCAAGCGTGTCGCGAAGCGCGACGCTTCGTTCGTTCGTTCGTTCGTTCGTTCGTTTTGTACATCGTTTATACACAGCACGTCGTCCCGGTGCTCAGCGCGAGCCCGCGGCGCCGTACGAGCCGTACCGCGCCTGCTCCGCGAACGCCCTCAACGCCGCCGCGTTCCGCGCGCTCGGGTGCGCCTCGCACCACGTCGTCACCGCGCTCGCGGCGTCGCCTGCGCGTGCGTAATACACGTGGCGGTGCATGGTTGGTCAGATGATACATGACATGGCAGTATGTGCGGCTACTAGAAAGAGAAGAAAACGAATACGCACCGCCGGCGACCTCGATGAGCTCGTCGATGACGTCGCACGCTTCGGTGTACACCGCGTGCTCCGCGATGGTCTCCTGCGCGTACGCGGCGGCGCGCGATTGGTCAGATATGATGACGTGGAATCGTGTGTGGTTAAAAATGCAATACAGAAGGTAGGTACTGTACAATCCGAATACGAACCATGATCGCGTCGACGTCGCGTTCGCACTGTTGCTTATCGCCGGACGTCCAGAACGGGTGCTCCGTCCACGTCACGACGCACTGCTCCGAGGCGTCGAGGAGGTTCCTGAGAGAGACGGACGAGAGGATGAGTCGAACACGTGGCGGACGCGTGGCTGATAGGTGTCGACGCGCGTATGACACGTGGCGGATCTTGGGGTCTAGAACGAAACGAAACGCACCGGTTCACGAGCTCGTTGACGACGCCGACGAGTCGCGAGTCGCGAGTCGTCGTCATCGTCGACCGTCGATTCGTCACGCCGACGGTCGCGAACGCTTCGGAGGTGACGACATTATTCTTGCTCGAGTCCGTGACGACGTAGCGCGTGATGAGCGGCGACTTGTCGCCGCCGCCGTCGCCGCCGACGACGCGCGCGCGGCCGCGGCGCTTGACTTCCGTGCCGAACGTGAACGCGTCGCGGACCGTCGAGGACCGCGATCTCGACGACGTCGGTATCGGCGCGATGGTCTCGCGCGCGCGGGGCGCGGACGCCACCGGGTCCCATCGCGGAGACGCAGGCATCTTCGCGCTCGCGGCGAAGGCGAAGGCGTCGGCGTCGGCGGCGGGCGCGGTGTCCACGCGCGTGGGCGCGAAGCGCGCGTGGTACCGCCCGTTGTGACGGCGCGGGGACGGCGCGGGGACGACGGAGGAGACGAAGAGAGAATCGTCGAAGAGTTCGCACTCGACGTCTCCGTCTTCGCCGAACACGACGCATCCATTCTTCTTCTTCTTCTTCTTCTTCTTCTTCTTCGTCGTCGTCGTCGTCGTCGTCGCGCGCGGCGACGACGACGCCGTCTTGTGAGAGACGACGAGGAGGGAGTCTTCGAAGAGTTCGCACTCGACGTCTCCGTCTTCGCCGAACACGACGCATTTTTTTCTCGCGCGCGACGACGACGACGACGACGACGCCTTCTTCGTCGCCCTCGCCGGCGGCGGCCTCGCGGGCTCCGGCGCGGGGAAGAGCGTCTGCGTCGTGAAGTACGAGAACGGAATCGTCGCGCCGTCGAAGAGGTCGCTCAGGGTCTTGTTCTGTTGCGTGCGCGCGGCGTCGAACGCGAATTGCTGACACCTCGTCGTCGCGGTTTGCTTTTTTTCGCCTCTCGAAGCGTTTCGGCTAGATCGACGAATCTTCGGGCGCGCTCGCACGCGCGCGGGACACAGCGCGGTCGAGAACGCGAGCGTCATGACCGACGTGACGCGTTAGCGGACGAAGACGAGGAGGAGGAGGAGCGTGATGGATGTCGTCGCGTGCGGGCGCTCGCGAGGAGTGCGCGGCGCGGACGCGGAAAAGCGAAATATCTCGCCGTGAGATTTGCCAAGTCAGCATGACATGTCAGCATGAGATCCGTTTTTCGCGCGAAAAATCTTGTTATTATCCTCGGAAATGTCAACGAACAACGACGTCCCACGGGCGCGCGCTTAGGTCACAGACGCGCGCGCAGAACTCGCGCCATGAACCCCCGCAACGATCGCCGAGACAAACCCCGCGACAAGGACGACCCTCGTCGCAACGACCGCCACGACCGCTCCGGCCGAGGGTGCGTCGACGGGACGAATCGGACGCGCTTTTTTAGTCAGACGAGCTAGGTTTTTTTTTTTTCTCTCGCGTCGAATCTCGTCGCTCTCGGACCGCTCATCGGATTCGATCGACCCTCGCGACGCGCGCGCACCTCGCCGCCGCGCCCTGACCGCGCGCTCTCCCGTCCATCGCATCGCCCGCGCGACCGACAGTCACGAAGGCCTCCACCGCGGCGGCGCCGGCAAGGGCGGATGGGGCGTGCCCGGCGAGGAGGCCGAGGTCACCCTCGGCGACGTCGCCTCCGCCGAGGAGGAGCGCGAGGAGGTCGTCGCCCGCGACGAGGACGACGAGCGCGCCAAGGCGGAGAAGCCCGAGTTCTCCGCGAAGATCGACGACGACGACGCGTTTCCGATCCTCGGTGGGAAGTGAGCGGCGTTTCGCGGCGTTCCGCGTCGAAGAATCACTGGCTGGACCATTTAATAATCCCACCACCGTCGCTGATCCCGCTCTCATCGCTCGCCCCCGACCAATCTAAAGCGCGCGCGCTAGCTATCGACGCGACGCGGCGCGCTCCCTACGCGACGTACTTCCGCGCCGCGCCCCCGATCGACCGTCCCGAGTCGCTCCGTCTGCTCAGCGCGCCCCCCGACCTTCGACCTCCGCCGTCGTCGCCGCCGCCGCCGTCGCCCGCGTCGCTCGCGTCTCGGCGGTCCACCTCGCCGGGGTGCGCCTTCCATACGAGTGATGATATCGGGGTGGAGTTGAAAGGCGTCAGAAGCGGAGTTGAAAGGCGTCGAGGTGTGTCGGGATTGAAACCGTGGCGTGGGCGGAGAGATGCGACGGCAAAAGTCCTCAAGGATCGGCTTTCACATCGCCGACGCGGTCGTACGGGGACCGGTGTGAAACGAGAACGTACCCCGCCACCGCCTCCGCCGCCCATGACGGATTTCCCGCTGCCGCCGCCCCGGAGCTGCTTCCGCGATCGCCGCGTGCCTTCGCCGACGCCGCCGCGCGCGCCGAGCGCAGAAGCGCGGCGCGTCGGTCCAGCCGCGAACGTCCCGCGGCCGCCGCCGCCGTCTCGGTCACTTTTCCCCTCCTCCGCCGCCGCCGCCCTCGCGGCGGCCTCTCGCTTCTCCCGCACCGCCTTCGCGGCCCAGCTCGTGGCGCTCGCGGTCTTCGCGTCCCTCTTCGCCATCTTCTCGTCCCGCAGCGCGTTCAGAACAGCCTCGAACGACAGCTGTCCGGGCGGCGTGGAGTTCAAAGGCGTCAGTTGGCGTTGAAAGGCGTCGAGGGCGGGGAATGAAAGCGAGGGATGGGCGGAGAGATGCGCCGGGCAAAGTCCTTAAGGATCGGCGTTCACCACGCGAACGCGGTCGTATGGGGACCAGTGTATAGAACGCACCTGTCCAGGAGGCGCCGCCGGCCTCTGCCCTTTCCCGACCCACCCTCGCGTGACGTCCACCGGCGTCGCTCGCAGCGTCACCTCGCCCGTGCGCGCGCCGACGTCGCCGTAGCGGCTCGTCGTGTTCGACGGCGCGACGAGCGGCATCGTGACCTGCCTCCGCTCCGTCCTCAGGAGCTCTCGGAGAGAGAACCGCGCTTCGCCCAAGACTTTTACGCCGCCGCCGCCGCCGCCGCCGCGGGCGCCCGCGGGGAAGCCGCCGCCGCCGCCGCGTCCGCCCCTTCCTCTTCCGCCTCTCCCGCCGCCGCCGCGCGCGGCGTCGTCGTCGTCGCCCGCGCCGCGCGCCGCGTGCACGAGCAGTCGCAGCTTGCAATCGAGCTGGAACTGCGCCGGGAGCGCGAACAGCGGCGCCTTGTGCCGCGACAACTCTCTGAGGTGTCGTCGTTCGATTGGCGGGCGACGCGGCGGGAATTGTTGTGATTGGTTAGTTATTTGATGACGTGGACGGTTCATTGGACGAGAGCGACGGAGAGGGCGCCGGGACCGGTGTACGTGTGAACGCGCCTGAGCGCCTTCTCGCGAAAGTTGACCACCATCCCCCCGAGCTCGTTCTTGTCCGGCTGGCACTCGTCGGGGTGGAGTTGAAAGGCGTCAGAAGCGGAGTTGAAAGGCGTCATAGGGTCGGGGATTGAAAGCGAGGTGTGGGCGGAGAGACACGCCGGCAAAAGTCCTTAAGGAACGGCGTTCACCACGCCGACGCGGTCGTACGGGAACCAGTGTAATAAGAACGCACCTGGCACTCGCGCTTGCCGACGACGACCCACGACGCCTTCGCGTCGTCGTCCGCGCCGCCGCCGCCGCCGCCGCCCTCCGCCTTCGCGGCAGCCTTCGCGCGCGCGGCCGCGGCCGCGGCGTCCCCGGTCAGCGCCTTCGAGACCAGCGCGGCTCGGTTGTAGTACAGCGTGACCGTCGCGGGGGGCTCGCGCGACGTCTCCATGTTCTTGTCCTTCCGCAACCGCGCGGCGTCGTCACGAAGCGTCGCGACCGCGATCTCGACGCTGCCGGCGTCCTTCACGCTCACCGCGGCGTCCACGGCGATGTTCGCGATGGCCTTCGCCTCCGCCTCGCGCTTCGCCGCGGCCTTCTTGAGCTCGGCGTCGTCGAGATCTAAGAGATCCTCCTCCTCCTCCTCCACGCGAGACTTCCCGCAGCACCCCATCGGCGGCGGCGGCGACGATCGAGCGTCGACGTCGATTCGATCGGCGCGAGCGGGGGAGGCGGGCGCCGCGCGGTCGCTACGCCACGCCGCCGCGCGCGTCTGAGGGAAGAATCACGCGAACGACGCGGGCGGCATCGTCGCGCGCGCCGCGCGCGGGGAAACTGAATGGATTTGTAAACGGCTGGAAGTCGTTTCTTCGCGAGTTGACAACCATTCGTCGCCGCCCGCCCTCTCATCACTCCGCGGCGCGCATGGCGTCGTGGACGCTCGAGACGCTTCAGCGCGCGGTAGACGAGGTCACCGCGCTCGTGGCCATCTACGGTCCCGACGGATGCGACCCGGACGCGCCCACGGACGCGATGGTCGCGGAGACGGACGCGCTGGCGACGGCCGAGCGCGTCCTAGCGCTCGCGTCGTCGTCGTCCGATGCCGACGTCGCAGCAGTCGCGGCGGTCGCGGCGCGCGAGGTCCCCGCGCTCGGCGTCTCCGTGTCGTTCCTCGGGAGCCGCCTCCGCGGCGCGCCCGTGCGCGTGGACGCGACGATGCCGCCGGGGTACCCGTCGAAGCGCGCGCCGTCCTTCGACGTGCGCGCCGCGGCGAGCGCGTCGCTCGAGGAGATCAGCGAGTTGAGAGCCGCGGGAGAGAGCGCGATGCTCGACGCGCGAGGCGTCGAGGAGGAGGAGGAGGAGGAGGACGGCGCGGAGTGCGTCGCCCCCGCGCTGGACGCGATCCGCGCGCGAATCGAAGAGCTCGACGCGACGCTGCGCCGCCGCGCCGAGGACCGCGAGACGACGACGACGACGACGACGACGACGACCTCGACGACCTCGACGACCGTCTCGCGTCGACTCTTGTGGTTCCATCACATCAAGGCCAAGTCCAAGCGCAAGGACGCGGTCGCGTTCGCCAGGGAGCTCGACCTCGGCGGCTTCAGCAAGCCCGGGTACCCGGGCGTCGTCGTCGTCGAGGGGAGGCGCGAGAACGCGGACGAATACGTGCGACGGCTGCGAGCGCTGAGGCGCGTTCTATCTTACACTGGTCCCCATACGACCCCGTCCGCGTGGTGAACGCCGATCCTTAAGGACTTTGCCCGGCGCGTCTCTCCGCCCACACCTCGCTTTCAATCCCCGCCCGCGACGCCTTTCAACTCCATCTGACGCCTTTCAACTCCACCCCGATATCATCGCTTCGCATGGAACGACCCCGAGTTGGCTCGCCATGTCGGTGCGCGCCGCGGAGGACGAAAAGGGGGGGGCGGGCGACTCCGCCGACGTCGCGCCGCGGTCGCCGCCGAGGCGGAGGCTCCCGGAGACGTTCAGGGAGCTCCCGGAGAACGGCCTCGGGGAGCTCGCGGCGTGTTTACGCGACGCCGGGTTGGAGCATCTCGTCGAGGCGACGCTGCGGCAAAATTTGACGTCGACGGCGACGTCGCGGCGCGAGTGAAGCGGCGGCGCGGCGACGCGCGTCGTATCGTATCGCATCGCATAGCAAAAGTACTAGGTAGTCCGTAGTGGTGAGCGCACGCATCGCGTGGCGTCGATTCGTATCGTATCGTGTCGTGTACACGCTGTAACGTCCCGTCGTCGTCCGTTTCACGATGCAACGCCGCCGCCGTCGAAAAACAAAAACGAAAACGCGTCCCCGCGGATATACTTCCGGAAGTCATTCACACCACCCCTCGCGTCGTCGCGATCACCAGATGCTGCTTCGACGTGCCCCGGGTGAACTTCTCGTGCGCGAACGCGCTCTCGACGACGTTCGCGTCCTTCCTCACGAGCTCGTACTCCGCGCACTCGAGCAACCGGCCGTCCCCCGGCGCCGTCGCCGCCTTCACGGTCGTTCCATCATTCAAAGCGATGATATCGGGGTGGAGTTGAAAGGCGTCAGTTGCAGTTGAAAGGGGACCAGTGTAAGATAGAACGCGCCTTCACTTTTCGAAAGTTGTACACGACGGAGTGGACGCCGCACGACGCGACGATCCACCGCTCGGGGGCGCCGCCGCGCTCGGTGACCCACGTGAACTTCCCTCTCGTGAACTTCGCCGCGATACCCGCGCCCTGCCCCATCCGCGCGACGTCTTCCGGTTTCAGCTTCAGCAGCCGCGGCGCGGCGATCTTCTCGCCCGCGCGGCGTTTAAATCTGATAGGTCGAGGGAAGACACGTGTCAGTCACGCGATCATGTGATTGGCGGATGTCGTAGTCCCACGCCACGTGTCAAAACGTGAGGTCCCTTCTCGTGGGAAGCGAGCGGTCTCACCCGTTCGTCAGCTCCCCTGTGCGGTCGTCTCGGAAACACGTGTGCAACAACACGAGGCACGTGTCCGTCGTCGCGAGCACCCACTTGCCGTCGTACGTGACGTCGATCGCCGTGATGGCGCCGCCGAGCCCGGGGAACGACGTCTTCGCCTGGCGGAAGCCCCCGCCGGAGGCGTACAGGCGGATCTTGCCGTCGTCCGCGCCGACGACGACGTCGCCGTCGCCCGTCGTCGCGACGCAGCTGAGCGTCGTTCAACACGTGCACGCGTCGGTCAGTTGAAAGGTAACAACGCGATCAAATAATGTTGAAACCGAGCGGTGGGGGGTGAAAGACGTGTCCATTGTCCACAGCACGCACCTGAATTTCGCGCCGCGCGCGAAGTCGTGCCCGGAGACGTAACGCAGCGGGGACGCGGACGCGCCGCGCTCGAACGTCGTCTCTTGCACGACGGAACGCGCGTCGCCGCCGACGCGCGCGTCCCACCGCACGAGACGGTTCGCGTCCACGCCCACGAACGTCCCTCGTCCGCCCTCGAGCTGCGCGCTCTTGGTGTCGCACGCGACGTCGAGCATCGGCGCGCTCGCGCCGTCCTTGACGCAGGACCTGGGTGAAAGGATCGGTCAGTCGAACGTCGTACACGTATCGATCGATCGATCGATCGTTCGTCGAAAGGAGCGCGCGGGGTGGAGAACGTCTACATGCGGGGAAAGTCCTCACGGAACGGCGTGCACCGCGCGGACGCGGTCGTATGGGAACCAGTCTCACCACTCTCGGACGATCTTTTCCGTCTCGAGATCCATCTGATACACTCTGTCCGACCGACCCCCCGGCGCGCCCTCGAGCGGGGACAGCAGGAGCATCGTGCGCTCCGCGTCCGCGAGGATCGCCTTCGTCGGCGTGATGTTCAGATTTTTCAACGAGACGGAGACGCCCGCGGCGGTCAGCGCGCCGTCCGCCGCGTTCCGGAACACCTCCACGGCGTCGTCGCGCACGAGGAAGCTGTTGTCCAGCGCGCCCATGCGCACGAGCCGCGCGTTGGAAGCAGAAAACGCCGGAGAGGCGCGCGTCTTCCTCTCCGGCGTCGCGCTGAGAGGAGAAGAACGCGCGTGGCCGCGGCGCCGCGGGTCCGCGTTTTCGACGTTTTCATCATTCTCGACGCACAGCTGTGCGTCGTCGTCGTCGTCGTCGTCGTCGTCGTCGTTCAAGAGGATCACCTCCTCCTCCTCCGTCGGCGCTGCCTCCTCCTGCGCGTCCCACACGGCGTCCGGGTGGTCCTCCCCGCTCGCCCACGACGCGTAGACGTCGCCGAACACCGCGGCGCGGTTCTCTTCCGTCGACCGCACGCCGTGTCGGTTCTCGAAGAGCGCGTCTTTGTATCGCGAGACGAACGCCCGGTACGTCGCGTCGGCGTCGTCGCCGCGCCATCTGAGGGTCGTTCCGTCGTTCAAAGCGATGATATCGGGGTGGAGTTGAAAGGAGTCGATGCGTGTCGGGATTGAAACCGTGGTGTGGGTGGACAGAAACGCCGGGAGAGAAAGTCCTTAAGGAACGGCGCGCGCCGCGCGAACGCGGTCGTATGGGGACCAGTGCGGTAATAATAGAACGCGCCTGAGCGCGTAGACGATCTCTTCGCGCGGGGCGAGGAAGTCGACGCGGCGCTCGCGCGCGTTGCTCACGAGGCGGAGGTGGTCGGAGACGTGCACGCGGACGTCGTCGCCGGCCTGCGCGGGGGCGGGGAGAGAGAGAGCGCGACGACGTGAGCGAACGAACGGCGACGCATCGAGAATGTGTGCACCCGAGCGAGTGGACAGGAAAAACGCCCGAATCGACGATTCGATTCGAGATCTGGCGACGAAGCCGTCGACCGCTCGCGTCGCGCGACTCCATCGCGTTCTCTCCGCGTCGCCTCTCACCTCGAGCATCCACCGCGGCGCGTCCTCGCGCGCGCCGTCGTCCACGAGCGTCGGCTGCACGGAGCCGTCGCAAATCTCGTACGCGTCGAAAGCGAATCGGTACAAGATCGCGTCCGCCGCGCGACGCGAGGACGACGGTCGCGACGGCGTCGCGTCCGAGCCCGCGCGCGGGTCGCGCGACGACGTCGGCGGCTCGGAGGAGGGCGGGAGGTCCACGGAGGAAGGGGCGTTGCCCATCGCGCGGCGAGGACGGGGGAGGGGGTGGGTGGGGTGGGGGTGGAGCGCGCGGAACTGTGCACCCGCGTTCGGAGCGTTTCGCCTGATGCTTGAGTGCACAGACTCTGATAACTCGACCGGGAACCGATCGGATCCTGCTTTGAAAGTGTCGCGATGATGCGTCAAGTTGAAAGCGACCCTCGCTGCTGACCGGCGGGAAAACCGACCGACCGTGATGAGACAAAAAATGCAAGTTCAAAATAGTCGTTGTGTCCAATCGCGCGCGCGAAGGGCGAGACACAACGCGCGGCGCGGACGAGCGACGTCTCCGCGCGCGTCGTATCGCGATGGACGACTCGCTCATAAGCGAGGGGACGCGCGTCCGCGAGCGCGCGCGGGCGCAGCTCAGAGC